AGACAGAGCCGACCAGCCTGAGCCATCACAAGCACCTGCTGTCGAAGGCCCCTCCGCGCGCCGCCGCCGCTGTCCTGCCACTGATGACACATCCGAGGCCCTCCTCCGCTGCATCGAACAACAGAACCAGATGATGCTTATGATGGAACAGCAGAACCGCAGGGCTGAAGAATTCGAAGCATGGCAGAGAGAGCAAACCGGTCAAATTAGGCAATCTTTGCAGATGATGCAGGATGTCCATTCCGGCATGGCCGATGAGATGGCACACCTCAGTGTGCGAGTCGACGGCCTCCGTGATTACATCTTCCACACCGGAGCTCTGAACCTCGCGGCACGCGACGGCACAGCCAGAGGTCGGGGTAGAGACCGAGGAAGAGGAAGGACTAGTAGTATTTTTCATTTTTGTCATTTTATTTTCTTTATTTATTTCCTTTGTATTTCTCCCTTCCGCATTCTTTCAAATCAGTGAGGACACTGATTGAGATAGTGTGGGAGCAGACCGTTATTTCCCATTTTCGATTATACTTTTTCTTTCGAATTTTCAATTTAAAGTAATTTTAGTTTTCGGCAAATAAGCTCTTATATATATATATATATATATATATATATATATATATATATATATATATATATATATATATATATATATATATATATATATATATATATATATATATATATATATATATATATATATATATATATATCCGTTACGTGAACTCCCCGCGCTTCATTTGACATATACAAAGAAACTTTTATCCTCTCCAAAGCATCACGCGTTACGCCTAAACTTTACCAAGTTGGAATTTCCGAGAAGAAAATTTTAACAAAGCTTCTACGCCCTGACACCTTAGACCTCTGGTTTATGCGAGTCAGTCTCACTACTTACTCGTACCAAAGCCTTGAGTTTCAACTCGAACGGAGCCCCTAGTAGTTTATACGAGCAGTCAGCACCATCCTAAACACTTCTAAGCAAGAAACCGATGCAAATAAGTGTATGATCTCTAGTAAGAATTCAATAATCTTGAAAGAAAAGAAAAACCATATAGCATGAATATAGAGATATGTCCCTTCTAAGTTTGGTGCTCCTCGCCCGAGCATTTAGCCCAACGGTACGAAACTCTTGCGGATTTATAGCAGAATGAGCATATGTGCAAAGAAAAAAAATCAAACTAGCAGAGAGATCAAAATCACCATCAGGTTTTCTTGCCATGAACATGTATGGATAACGGGCTTAATGTGACTGCACCAGAACGAAGCCGGGTAAAATTTGTTGCGAGAGACTTGAAGTCGAGCTGCAGTAACATGATTGAGACTGGCTTGCATAAAAGAGAGGCCTTCGAAGACTTACAATCAAGTGTCGTTTCCGTATACGCTTTGTTTCCATTGGATCCCCAGCTTTTCTTAACTTGGCGTCCGAGAAATCTTATCAAAGGAAGAGTGTGCCACGTGCTTGCCGAACTTTAAATTTTTCCTACCTTTACTTGAGGACAAGCAAAGATTCAAGTTTAGGGGAGTTTGATAACGCGAAATCATATATATATATATATATATATATATATATATATATATATATATATATATATATATATATATATATATATATATATATATATATATATATATATATATATATATATATATATATATATATATATATATATATATATATATATATATATATATATATATATATATATATATATATATATATATATATATATATATATATATATATATATATATATATATATAATGATGTACTTTTCTACTAATCGGCGACCGTTTTCTCTTCGATTTCAGATATTTCCACACTATTTGCCCAGTATTTTGCAGGTATTCAAAGACCATGCTCAAATGGAGCAAGACAAAGAAAAGAAGCATTTACAAGTGAAAATCAGGCCAAAAAGCAGCAAAAACGAGTTCTGCTGATATGACGACCGTCACAAGGGTGTGACGACCGTCATGCGTGTGACGACCGTCACAGGTCCATGACGAGCGTCATGGAGTTAAAATGCAGTTTTTCTGCACGTGCTGTCAAGTGATGAAAGTGCCAAAGAGGAGTGGACCACTAACTCCTATATTTTCTAATATCATTCCCACTCCCCGAAGAAATAAACCGTTGAATATCCCATCTATAAAATGAGGTAGCTGGTACCAGAAAAAGGGAGCCACATTGAAGAGACGAAGTGCTGCCAATTTACTTTCAAAGCAATTTTCAGTTTCCCATTTTCTTATCGTTATTTTATTTCCTTTTTCTTTCTTTCCTTACAATTGTTGTTTTACTTTCCCATTTCTATTCTGTATGAGTAATTGGCATAAAGACTAAATCCTCCCGCCATTTTGGAGGATTTCCCAAAAGCCAAATCGAATTGTTTACAAGTTTCTATTCTAATCGTAAATTGAATTGCTATTTCCCATTATAATGCATATTATTATTTTCTGTCATTATTTACGTGTTATTAATCTATATTCCATGTCTGGCTAAATCTTAAGTAATCGGTATGTAATAAATAATCTGATGAGATTCGATAATTAACCGGTGTATATCTACCTTTTCAAAACTTATTTATGGCTTCAGTTTTTAAATCGACTTTTCTAAATAAACTTTCGTCGCGACAGCGAGAAATTATTTACAGCAATTTTGCCACGACAGTGGGAAATTCATAAAGGTACAAACCAACAAGCGACAGCTGAGGCTAAGACCAGATAGCAAAAAACTAGACATTCATTTTAAAAACAGCGACAGCGCTTTAAAAGGAATTAGAATTTAATAGTTTTCAAAAAGTAACTTTAACCCCGAATGGGATAGCGACAGCATACGTTCTGTCTTAGAGTTGCGACTAGCGTCAACAACCATCGTGAGACAAAGGTCTTTAAACCATCATTTTCTTCTTAAATTATTTTTGAAAACCTAAAGACACCGGTGACCTATAGAATCCCTGAAGAAGTAACATATTACATACCGATTCAAGCATTTATACCTTAATTAAAAGCTTTAGTTCCCTTTAGTTTACGCACTTATTTCGTTACTATTCCCCTAAAATATTACCAACCTTGCTAAACACATTAACACCCGAAAATACTAGTTTGATTACGAGTCCCTGTGGGATCGATATCTATTATTACTACGCGATAGACTGTGCACTTGCAGTTAATTGAGTTAGACATAGAAAGTCGCGATCAGAGCATGTCACCTCACTCTTATATTTGATAAGATCATCATCTCCATTCTTTAGTCAAATGCTAACTATAATAAGATCAAAAGTCAACGAAAACTCCAAGATAAATTTACCCTCATTTACCTCGTCAAGATCATATCTCTCACGCACGCTCTGGAAATCTTTTGATACGCTTCATACATGTCCATTTTGACTGCCTTCTAGAAAAAATATATCTCTTTTAAGTATATCCTAAAATAAACCTTCTAAATCCTCCCAAAATTTTACCTTAAAGTGTTCTATTAACCCAACCTGAGGTACATAAGCACTATTAACATTAAAAGTGTCTTGTTCCATTATAAAATTTAATGATATGATTCAATCTTTTACTCTTTTTGCATCCACAATATTCTTCTTTCACTTCTTTTCCACAATAATTGTCGCCTCATTTCTCTATCTAATTTTTTGTGTGTACCAAAGTTTAAATCTCGAGTTGTCTAAGTTTTTCACCTTCTCACCTATCCACTTAGTTTCTTGTAGGCACATAAAATTGATCTTCCTCCTAATCATAATCAATTATTCCATAGATTTTATGATAAATGTATCTATATTTCATGATCCAAAAAGAATCCAACTCTCATAAACTTGTAGGCACATAAAATTTATCTTCCTTCTAACCATAATCAATTATTCCATAGCTTTTCCAATAAGTGTGTCTATATTTCATGATCCAAAAAGATTCCAACTCTCATAAACTAACTTTTTTACTCACACTCATTCACGAAAATACAAGAACACTTGTTTATTTATCACTACATACAGACATCGATGCTACAACTCTTACTCTTTTACCATTGTACTCAAGTCATACAACAACTTAACATTCACTTTATTTTGTAATTAATTCATATTATAGAAATAAAATTAAAACAAAAATAAAATGCTAAAAACTATTTAAATTACCTTATTGAAGAAAATATAAATGAATAAAAATAAACTACAATAAAATAATGCCACCAAACAGATTTTTTAGTCAAACTACAAGCTAGAAACTCAAAATGGAAACATATATAACATGCCAAATTTAGCCTTAAGGTTCTCTCGTCCGATGAAGAATCACTAAAACTAAACAAACTTTGGAGTTGGAAAGTTAGTTTAGGGAGTAGAAATGCGGCGAATGCAAATGAAGTCGTCTTCGAGAGACAACTTGTTCAGTGCCATTTTCTTCTCCCTATAGTTGGTTATAGCTTAGTGCAGGCTTGGATGACTTGTGAAATTAAACAACTATGGTGAGTTACAAAGTCAACCGTCCATTCAAACACACTTGTACTAATGATCCCATACACGAGGTCATGTCATTGCATCATCATAACAACTCTAAACTCTTAAATTATTTTCTTCACAAGATAGTTCACATGTTTAAGCAACTTTCAAATGCATCAAATTCAAAAACCTCAGCACGCTAGACAAGTAGATAAGAAAATAGTGGGAAAGGCATTAGGGAATCTCAACAATAGAGTACTCAGAAATTTATACTATTGTTATATACCAAAGAGGAAACAAGCAAAACAAAAAATTGTCCATAAAAAATGACACTCTTTAATAATAACAGGACAAATTTATTACACAAAATTTTGGTAAAAAATGCCATGAGAAAAAAATGAACCTAATTCACAATCCCGGTTTAAAAGAAATGGGCGGATCACAAAAATACTTTCCAGCAAAACCTACCTTCAACTTAATTGGAACCTATACTGATAATTTAATTGGAGAGAAATCAAATTGAACATCTGTCAAATAATTTTTTAAAAAATCCACTAATTTCTTTGCTTTTTCTATTTATGATGCAGCTTTTAGTTTTGGAATGTACTTTATCTTGATTCCCTTCTCCGACTTGATTCTCGATTTCGATTTAGCAACTCCAGAGGTTGCAAGAACGCTGCATCTATCCTTATTAGAAGATCGACATGGTGCTGGCTGACATTCCATGACCGCCTGTAACCCAGTAAGGTCAGAATCAGGTGAAATAACCAACTCCATGTGAGGCAATGAAATTGCTTCTTTCCATCCTGCATGAGAATTGTTGGTGATTCCATCAAAGTAATTAAAGGCCAACCCAATCATACTTTCAATAATACAGAATAATAGGAAGCAAAAAAGCAAAATGTATAAATTGGTAAAGCTTACTTTTTGCAAGAAAGGCTTTTGCAGCATGGCTGGAAAACTGAACGTTTTCTATATCTGCTTTATCCCCAACACTGAATTTGTTGCCTGAACTAATATCACCTCCATCTATATTACATGACCTTAAACTATTTTGAACAGACAAATTTTGATCAACTTTTCCATCAACATCTGTCTCCACACTTCGAAGTGGCAGCGGATTTTTAGTTCCATGCAGGCTAACCGGTCTCCAAAGCTTAGCTCTTGGTCGATTGTTGCCTCCCTGAAAGGAGTCAGGTTTAATTGGCTTCTCCTGAGCGATATTTTGGTCGGCCAAATTCTCTACAATGCTGTCTGCTTGAGATGTAACAAAATTACCCTCTGATTGGCTGCAATTGGCAAGTGTAACAGATACAGATCCTATCAAAACCTCATGATTCTTAATTTTGTCTGGTTCTTTATGCAGTCTAGCTTTCATAATCACTGCATCTGTTTCTGGTTTAGGCTTACGGCTCCAAACTTTACCACCGTTAACTATAGGAGCTGCCCTCTGCTCACGGTTGGTTCCATATTTTGGAATGACTCCAAACTTTGACTTTTGAGAGTTCTGGCTTGCATACAAACCATTGGCAATAGTTCGTTGTGACTTAGGCAGCCCTTGTCGTCTAGCAGCCGCTGTGCGCCGAGGATTATGTCTGTATGATGTCTGTCTCTCTAAATTCTGATCAGTGTCACAGTCATAACCTGGTTGTGCATCTCTTTGTGATGTCCACTGCTCCACATTCTGATCAGTGTCACAGTCATAACCTGGTTGTGCATCTCTTGGTGATGTCCACTGCTCCACATTCTGATCAGTGTCACAATGAAATCCTGACTTTGTATCCACGTCTACACATTCATTGGTGTCTGGGTGATGATAAGTTACAAGTGGTGAAGCATGCTCGGCAACTACATCTGCTCTATCTGCTTCAAAGTCACATGCAGCCAAAGATGCTTCCTCTGGTGATACATTCTCTTCTGTGCTGCTAATGCTCTCTTTAATTTCTGTGTCATTTTCAGGTCGGCCTCGCGCCTTCTGTTCTTTCTGCCTAAGCTTTTTCTGGCGTTTTCTCTCCAAAATCTCAGCTTGTCTGTAAATAAAAGGGAACATTGAAATATTATTCATACCTGACTAATTCACAACTATCACATGGGGGGTACATTCTGAATAACAGTAAGTGCCTTTTGATTTTGTTAAATGTTACTTTATCAATTACTTGAATTATTAAGAAATGCAGTATGATTGTTTTATAATAATAATAACAAAATTAAAAATTAAATAAAGTACTTGGAAAACTCATGCAATTAAAGAAAAAGAAAATGTAAGTCAGCATAGAAGTCATGAGTTGATTTCAAGTTTATTCTACAAGTGCGAGCAGAATAAGTGAGCAGAACAGCAGATAAACTAGGTGAAAGATGTTGCATAGTGAAGTTATGCATGTGCAGTTGAGCTGGCAGAAGAAATTTTTATTTGTTTTGGAGGGTTTAGAAAAATTATTTAAATCCTTACATCTCTTTACAATACTATCAAAATTTAAAATATATTAATCATCAATTTATTCTCATTCTCTGCAAAGACACTCTCAAATACTATGGGAAATTTCTATCTCTTTCCTACTCCTCCCCTCCCCCCAAAGCCCTTCCATTCCCTCTAAACTCCCAAAAGGAGTCTCAGGTTTTGTTTTCTTTGCAGCACCGGTCCAATGATTATATAAATTTTCTATTAGTAATTACATTCAAGAATCAAGCTCCACTGAGTCCTAAATTCTGAATAAGTCAAGGTGACTGCTATGTTATGTGAAGGAGGATTATAACAAAAATGCACCCAAGACTGAACTAGCCGAACTTTGAAAAGAAATGGAAAGATGGATTGAAGAAAAGACCACACATTTGTATATATACTCAACCCACTAAACCCTAGAAATATTTTCCATTCCTCAAGAAGCAATAAACGGAAATGAAACTCAAGAATCACACAGGACAAACAACTAAGAACTTATACCATTTAAGGCCCTAAAAAGCAAGGATTGAGGAGAAGAACAACAATTTAAGTTTAAAAATAAACTGGTTATAGCATTAAATGTACCTTCTCTGAGCAGCTTCTTCCTCCTCCACCAGCAGCTTCTGGCATCTCAATGCTTCAGCATCCTTGTCTGCGAGCCATGCCTTTACCTATGTTAAAGGAAATTAACATTTCATCACAACAGTAGTTAAGAACTTTTTCTATAGAATCAGGTTGGATGTCTGAATATGTACATAGAGAATGTGCTATGAACTTGGTTTCTACTGGCACATTTTTTCTTCAAAATCAGATCACATGGCATGCTGTGCTGGATTCACGCTAACTGATAATTCCTAAAATGATTTGCACAAGGTTGTCAATCACGATCTAGATCTTAAAATCTTACGATCCCACTCATCCCCAACGATCCCGATCTTAAGTAGAATCATGTGTTGTAGCCAAATTGTGAAAATAATACTAGATATTTGAAGTTTTAGTAATGTCTTATGATTTTTATTACGATCTTATGTTTTACGATCTTGCTACCCCTTTTCCAATTTTACAAAAATAATTGGATAGGATCTTCTGATCTTAGTTATATGTTTTACGATCTTACTATCCCCTCCCGATCTTATGCAAGACCATGATCGTAAAATCTTGCGATCTCACTCACCCTCAACGATCCCGATCTTAAGTAGAATCGTGTGTTGTAGCCAAATTGTGAAAATAATACTATATATTTGAAGTTTTAGTAATATCTTACGATTTTTTCTACGATCTTATGTTTTACGATCTTGTTGCACCTTCCGATCTTACAAAAATAATTGGGTAGCATCTTCGATCTTAGTTATGATCTTATGTTTTACAATTTTCCTATCCACTCCCAATCTTGCAAGATCGTGATCTTGACAACCTTGGATTTGTGTCGCAATCATAAAGGTTTTTTTTATCTTTAGCAGCCTTAAATGCCGGAATATTATTCCATATTAGTTTTACGATCTTACTACCCCTTCCGATCTTACAAAAATAATTAGGTAGGATCTTCCAATCTTAATTATGATCTTATGTTTTACTATTTTAATATCCCTTCCCAATCTTGCAAGATTGTGATCTTGACAACCTTGGATTTGCGTCGCAATTATAAAGGTTTTTTATTTTTAGCAGCCTTAAATGCCGGAGTATTATTCCATATTAGTTTTTCCTTTTCTGCACGTTTTTCCCGTGTGATGGCGAAAATGGAATTAGCAAAAATGTCTACAAGAGTAAACTCTCAATCAGGAAAGAACTGTCTATTGCTGACTGTACATATAAACTAATGTTTTAAATCCATTTCATGATAATGAGAACTAATCTTATGTCATTATGCCAATAAAATAGACTGGAAATCTGGTTGGATAATTGTTTGTTTTGTTCATGTAGAGATATTATATACAAGATTATTATACATTAGCTATAAATGAAGAATGTATTTGTACAAACTAGCCAATCGCCCTGCTATTTGGTGAAGTCTCTTGAATGGCTTAGTCAGTCTTACTATCACTAACATGGCCCTCACGCAATATCATGCCAAGGTATGAAAAAAAAAATCAAATAAATCTAACTTACAGATACCCGAACAATAAAATTAGTGCTGGCCCCCAAACTTTCCCAAACCGGAAAGAAACCCAACAAAAACTACAGAATAGCAAACGCCTACATCCAATACTAGTGATTAACTATTTAATGATTATGCAAGATTTATCCGCGTCTCAGGTACTACATCTGGTCCTATATATAAGAGAAAATTTACTTTTTAGATTCATTGAATAATCAATGTATCTAGGTTGTATAATAGACCAAATACATTGGTTATTCAATGAACTTAAAAAGTCAAATTTCTCTCATAAATAGGACCAGAGGGAGTATATCCTAGTGATGATCTATCCAATTTTCTTAGACAGTGCACAAGAAACACAACTTTAACATGAAATACTGAACACAACAGATGCGTGTGTGTGTGTCGAGAGTGACGAAAGAAAAATATTTTTAGTGCAACGGGATAAAGATTTTGAAGTTAGGCAAAACCATTACCAATTTCTGCTCTAGCAAGAAACTTGTGCAAGCAACTAGGTTTTTCGGTTCAAGACCAATCTTTCCAGCCTCTCCATCAAAAACATGTCTTTGCATTGATACTGCTGATCCACACAAAAATGTTTTTTCACTGGAATCATCAAGAATATCGAACAGCTTCTGTGAAGATATAGGGAAACTAGAAGGCCTGGATTGAACAATATCCTGTAAACAATGTAGATATATATTACATTAATAAACCTAAGGAATGTATCCAGTAAAAAATAACTAGAACATTGATAAGTACGCAACAACATTTCTTACCAAAAGGGCAAAACCAGCTCTGAGGTAACCATGTGGAAAAGAATAGAATCCTTGTTGTGTTCTAAGAGTTGAGAGAGCTTGTAAGACTGAAGAGCCCGGAACCTCCTGGAAAGCATTTCCAGTGGGAGACAGACAATAATACAAGATATTAGGATTAATTAGCGAGAAACAAGTAAAACTAGAAAACAATAAAAGTTGAAGCAAAGAGCTACAAAAGACTACTAAGTTTTTGTATCGGTTAAGAGTCTCACATCGGACAATCTATGGCCTGAACATGTGTTTATAAGTGGGGACAATCCTCACCCTACAAGCCGGTTTTGTAGGATTGAGTTAGGCCCAACCACACATTCCTAAGAGTATCTCTAATCTGTCTTTGATAAACTCTGAATTTCAAAAGTAGATGTATATGACTAATAATATTTCCAGACAATAGGGAATGGAGAACATGTTTAAACATCATATTCACATCGAAAAGGCACCTTCGACCTTTCAGCAAACAGATGATCGTTTTCAAATTCAATATGGCAGTTAGGAGGAACTATGACAATCAAACAAAACACTATACAAGAGAGTATAGCATTAAATGAAAGAGCGTGAAAGTGCCTTTGCAAAAAAAGACGAAAGTGCGAAAGAATAAAGTGAGTATGTGAAGAAGTGTATGAACTAATGAAAGAAGAAACCACTTCATATATAAACAAACTGGCGAAGTAAGGAGAAAAAAGGTTTTACCTCAAGCATTACATTCTTAAATGACACAACTTCCTTGGCCTCTTCTACAGAGAGCTACGCAAATTATGAGGGGAAAAATCAGAACTTCAAAACAAAATGTATTCTTCGTATAGGTGGAGTTCACTATAATAAAAGACTACCTTATCCCAATATGCCTCTAAAAGCTCCCTATTTTTCGTAGAGTCCTACAATATATAAAAACCATTAGGTGAATTGATGAAGACTTGGAAAAGAAATAGACATGAAAATATACTTGCAGAAAAAGCATGAACTGTACAAACAACAATGTGGGAGATAACTGCTTCCACTTATGAGATATAAAGATAACCTTATCAAGCTTTTTCAACCGATGGTGTACACGTTTATGTCTTCTATAATTAATTGGTGAGCAAAACTCTTTGGTACACTTGTCACACTTATGTATCTGAACCTTTGCAGGAGAAAACACAGGCCACCCTGGAATTTCTGCCAAATGAATCAAATATTATATCAGAAACTTTGGGTTCAGAATCAGATTCATTATTTTCATTATTTTCAGAGATTCTAAATTACTGGTTTTTTATTATCATTATTTAAGTTTTAACAATTCAGGAAGGCTAATCACATGGCTAATACATTCCAACTATGAAGCACGGATACCAAAAATACAACACCAACACTGACGACACGTAGATACCAGTAATAACATGGCTAATACATTCCAACTATGAAGCACAGGCACCAAAAACATGACACCGACCCTGACACGTAGACACCAGTAATAATTTGAAAAAATGAATAAATTAAATGTAATTACGAATGTTGTGTCGGTTTTAGACACTGACCCTGACGCAGGACACAACTTTTTTCAGAGGTGCCCACAGGTGCTACAGAGCATTCCAATACCCAAGCAATGTTCAAGTCAAACAATTTGATGTTAACTAAATTTCTTATGATTGCTAATACCTTGCTGCTGTTCTAAAGCATGAAACAATTGAATCCACTGTGCTGGCCTGTCACCAGCCCTAGGGTAGGAAAGGAAAGACTCTTTTCCAATTGCTTGTCTGATTAAAGTATCCAAAGAATCGTTTCCATCTTCTGGTTTCATAAAATTGGGAGTACCTGAGGCAGTAAGTTTTGCAACTGGCATCTATTCAGCCCAAATCGTACCAATAAATTTTATAGGATTCCACTGCACAAAATATAAAATAGTAAGCATAAAAATTAAAATAAATTTAAAATCACAAGAGAAAGAACATGAACATTACACATATTCAACAAAAAAAATTCAAATGAACAAAAAATCGTCAAGACATACTTATGTGCAAAATGCTGGTAATTGCTGAACCTGTCCCAAATTAAACAAAATTCGTTTATTTTTGTCAAACAAATTTGAACACAGAATCACTCAGGAATAGGGCGGAAGAAGATTCCATTCCATTTTTGGTAATTATAGGACTAAACAAGGAAAACTGTTCAATCCGCCGAAATCAGAGAAGAAATACCGTGTTGAGTGATGGAATGAAATGAAATCTATGCCACTTCATTCCGTTCCATCAGATTTTAAATTATTCAAACAGCAGAATGCCACTTCATTTCATCTCATACAGCTCCATCTGATTCAATCAATCCAAACAAAGCCTCGAGAAAAATAAAAATGTATGAAACTAAACAAGAATGGAATACATTGATACTAAACTCCAATCCTATTAAATCAATTCATTAGCAAAGCAATGAAAATCATTGACAAACACTCAGCATAAAATTATCGATTAATTAACCAATATCATCAATATCATCAATTACCGCAAACACAAACTTTCAAATGCACAGAAGAAAAAAGATAAAATTAAAAATAGAAAGCTACCTACATGTTCAAACTTGTCTCTAATCATCAAAACTATAATACAATTTACAAACCTAAATTGATCTTCACAAAAAAATTATATATACAATAGAATAATCACGAAAAGTGTGATCTAATATAGATCGAGTAAGAGAAAATTGAGTAGAGTGATATGAGATCATCATGTACCAAAGGGAGGAATAGATCAGTTAGATGATGGCAGAGAGATCTTCTGACAAATGACGATCTGGAAAGAATTGACAGCGGCGGGTTAGGGATTGAGAAAGATTGAGGGAAAGAGAAACGATAGAGGAAACGATCGAAAAAATGGCCTAGAAGTGTGAGAACCTTGTTTCGTTCTTGCACGCTGCAGCTTTTGTAGTAGGGCGAAAAACGTTTCTAACAAGAAAAAATAGATGCAACAAAATAAAAAGAAATTAAATTATTAATTATTAAATTAAGATTTAAATAGCTTTTTTTAAAGCAATTTTTTTGATTGAGGATTTTTTTTATCTGAGATCTTATATCTTATATGTAAATTGGTGTTAGTCTATAGGATTAGAATTTTGTTAGTAAAAAAGTTGATTTGACTAACGGCGTACACGTGGAAATAATTTATATTTGTTTTATATTTAACAACATACATACGAGACTATGTATTTATTTCCCACCAAAAATACCAAAGTGTTCAGAAATTATTTTTTAGTTCATGTAAATTAGGGTTTTGTATATTGGAATAAAAAAGAAACTCTGGTTGTGGGAGGGAGGAGACGAAGAAACGAAGATGACAAAATGCTTGATTTCATGACCAAGTAATGCAATTGCCTCTGCGGAACACAATCGCATCTGGAAACTCAATCCCATATGTGGTATCTTCTTTCTTCCTTCTATCAATGAGTTAGCTATGTTCATTGTGTATTCTTGAAACTTGCATGTTATGGAGTTCAGTTTGATTTTTCATTACAAGGTAGATTTGATAGGGACTATTTAGTATATTACACAGGGTAAAATGAGCATATGGGAGAAATAGATTCAGATAGGTGGATTTTATTTGAAGCAACAAGTATTGTGAAAGAGATAATTGAGCTTGAGCATTCAGAGTATTGGTTATGATGGTATAACAATAATGTTGATAGGTATAGTAGAATGGTTAGTGATAGTGATGTTGATAAGGTATATCAATATGCCATGGAAATAAAATGTGCAGTGCACATATATGTTAAGCATATAAGTAAAGGCAATGCACAAGAAGCTTATGTAGGTGATTTTCAAGAAGATGATGTTTGTGGTGTTGAACAAGTTGAAGTAGGTAATGTTGCTAGTGTTGAACAAGTTGGAGTAGGTAATGTTAGTGGTGTTGAACAAGATGAAGTAAGTAGTGATGTTGGTGGTGTTGAACAAGATGAAGTAGGTAATGATGTTGGTGGTGTTGAAAATGTTGAAGTAGGTAATGTTGTTGGAGTTAAACAAGTTGAAGAAGGTAGTGTTGGCAGTGTTGAACAAGTTGAAGTATGTGATAAAAATGAGGATATTGAGGACATTGAGGATAATGAGGATGTTGAATTTAAAGCTAATGGTTTATCATTTGATGATAGTGAGGATGAGAGGGCTCTTGGGTTGGATGATTTCTCTGATGTTATTGAAAATCAAGTTGTAGAAAAGGGCAAAAGAGGTAGGATAAAAGTTGCAGCAAGGAAGCACAAGCATACTCCAAAGAAAGTACAAATTGGTGTTGACAATGTATGGTCATCTAATGGTGTAGATAATGAGATGGACATCAACTATGCTAGTGATGGGCTTGGTAGTAGTGACCCTGGTGCTTTTGATGGAGAGAAGGAACCAATATATCCAAGGTTTAACTTGGAGTATTTGGACAAGAATTACAAATTCAAAGTGGGATTGGAGTTTGTAGCACTTGATGAATTTAAAGAAACAATTACTAAATGATCACTACCAAATGGGAGACATATAAAATATATGAAAAATGACAAAGTTATAGTAAGAGTAATTTACAAGGACAAATGTGAGTTTTTAGCACTTGTAAGTAAAGATAGGAATAAGCACACATATAGAATAAAGAATGGATTAGAACACACATGTGTGGTAGGGTATTGAATAATAGTTCTGCCAATTCTAGGTGGGTTGCTAAAACTATGGCGGCTAGGGTGACATATTCTGATGGTGTTAAGATTCGTGATATTCTCTTTGAGATTAGGAGTAGCTTTTCTGTTGGCATAACTATGAGCATGACATGGAAGGCTAAACAAATTGCAAAAGCTTTAATTGAAGGTGATGCAGTGAAACAATACAACCTTTTGTGGAGATACTCTGCAGTGTTAAAGAGAGTCGATTTCGAGAACACTTGTAAAATCAATCTGGCAAGGGTTGGACCAACAATACAACCAAGGTTTAAAAACTTTTATTTTGGCTTAGATGGGCTTAAAAAGGGTTCACAACATCTTGTAGGCCATTCATTGGAGTTGGTGTATGTCATCTTAAAACTAAGTATGGAGGGACCCTTCTTATTGCAATTGGTAGAGATCCAAATGATCAATATTATCCCATGGTTTTTGGTGTATGTGAAACTAAAACAAATGAGTCATGGAGGTGGTTTCTTATCTTGCTTTTGGAGGACATTGGTCAAGAAAATAGATGGGTTTTCATCTCTGACCAACAAAAGGTACTTTCAGAACTGTAACTTTTTTTGGATCTCATCCCTAACTATATAATTATTTTTAGATCTCATCCCTAACCATATAATATTTTTTGGTTTTCATCCCTAAATATGTTATTGTTTTTGGATTTCATCCCTATTTAAAATTGCTTTGCAGGGTTTGATACTTGTCTTTGAAAAATTGTTTGAGAGGGTAGAACACAGACTTTCTCTTAGACATTTATATGCCAATTTCAAAAAGAAGTTTGGTGAAGGGACATATAGATTAAAGACTTAATGATTGCAGCTGCAAAAGACACGTATATCTAAGCTTGGGATGTTAAGATGAAAGAATTGAAGGAGCTTATTGTGAAGGCTTAGGAGTAGCTGTCAAACATACCTACCAAAGTATGGTGTAATCATACATTTTATTTTTATCCTAGATGTGATGCTCTTATGAATAATGTATCCAAGACATTTAATAGCATTATGTTAGTTGTAACACCTCAAATATACCTGCGAAATATAATTAAAATATCAAATTAAATACATTATTTATATTCAGAATGTCACATAACTAAACATAAAACAACTACTCATATATGATGATATGTAACACATGCAATGTTTGAAAATTAGTTATAATAACTATAACAATTTAACAGGTCTTAAATTCCAACTTTATTGAAAATAAGGGAAGCATCAACATAAGAAGATATTCAAAACATAATCATTCTTCAAAATAACAAAAGCCACGAATTCTAGAGATATCCAAAAATCTCTACAAAACTCAACATAACAAAATGTTCCCTGACCCCAATGTTACACATCAGAGCAGACACAAAAGGAAAAATATAAGACTTTATCTTCTACTTACTTCAACTCCTTTACTGCAAGTTATTTGGGCGATATCCATGTAAAGGCAACACTCAAATAGAAGGGGTCAGATATCATAAATAGATAAAGGAAAGCATGATAATAAGCAGGCAGCAGATTATTTCATGCACATCATCCATTCCACATAACCAACACAACAGCCATCCAACACAACAACAACATCCAACATACATCTATAAAGTTAACATACAACAAACATCAATCACAACAACCAATTCAATTAATATGCAAATGCAATGAGACTCACAACTCGACTCAACGCATGTGGTACCATTCGGTTCTAATATCAGAACCTGGTCCCTATTTCAGAATCACAATTCCCGTTGAAATTCTAATACGTGAACACTTAGGTTCACCGGCTCAGACCCCCACCTCATGGGATATTGAGCTCACAATTCTTTATCATTATTATTGATGACATCTCACTGATTTCATTCATCCTGGCAATCAACTATCGGCATACAATTCTCACTTCCTAGGATTGATGCTCACAACAACGGACCAATGTCTCAATATCATGTATGCATGCAACAACAATAATATCGAGTACAATGACAAATACCTCCATAGTCATATACTTCGCCAATACTGGCCATCATGCTCAACATACACGTTAAGACAGTTCCACAACAGCAGCACAATAATATAACAACATAACAAGCATCCACAAGGAACTTAAAATCATCTTACACCACAACAAAATGATAATAATCCGTTTAACATCAACAAACAGCAAAATCACTCAAATCCTGCTACTGAAACTATTTTTAAACTAAAGTTTGTCATGCCTGCTTTTCGACGCTTTGAATGGAACTCGAATCGGACTCCCGGGACGAAAATTATGAATTTTTAAAGTTTTTTCCAAAAATAAATGTTTCAAGTGTAACGGGTTACCTAAATCGGGGTAACGGGTTACACCCTTAAAAACCAACCAACCACACAAAATTAACACAGAGTAACGGGTTACCTAAATCTGGGTAACCGGATACCCCCCTCACAGTTTATCCAAAAATGTTATATTTCAACAATGTAATGGGTTACCCTATATCTGGTAATCGATTACACCTGCAACAGAATCACTTTTCTGCTGCTTATCAGTATGAAAAGGGATTTTTAACCCAACATAAAACCCCACTTTTCATATAAAACACGTAATTTATTATTTTACTAAAAAGACATGTTTTATCAACACAAAAATCCCGCTTTCTTCCCCTAAAAACACCCAAAACATTCGTTCCGACTCTGATTCTCAAATTCACACAATAACGCAACAACGACATTGATCAACCATCATTCGACGAATAAAAAACAACAAAAATTGTATCAAATTCATCAATAACAACAGTCTCAACATCAACATACAACGATCAACGGAAAAACAATCAATTCACAATTACCATTCAATTAAATTTACGAACAACAAAATGAGAGATACAAAACTTACATGATAGAATCTACCCGCCATGATCATCATACTATCCCTTAGCTAGTTAGAACCCCACTATTACCTTAGAATTTTGCAAAGAGTTATCCTTCCTCAACAATGGAGTTCTCTCTCTTCTTCCTTGAGCCCTAACCTTTTCTCTTCTTTTCTCACGCTCCTCTGTTTTTACGTTCTGACAAAACTTCCTCTCCACTTCTCCTTTTCTATTTCTAATATTATTTTTATTTCATAATATTATTATTATTATCCCATTATTATTATTATTATTATTATTATTATTCTGGACTGGGCCAAAGCCTGCTCCACTATCGGGCACGACCCAACCCATTTATTCACAAGGGAGGGCCCAACGAGGGCCTAACTTATCACATCACACGGAAAGTGTTCACGCGCCCCCCTTCCCCACACGGACTCCACGTGCCCCCTACACGGGGACACATCATCAAGAAACTACCCACCTTCTGAAGATCACGGGGCAGTTGACCCAGGGTGAATACCACGTGCTAGTCTTCCCTACGCCACATAAGCCCTGACAGTTATTCGTATTGGGCCTAGCGAGCCAACCCAATGCAAAGTAACCGTTTGTCCCGCACTGGGGGCATATTATAAATACCCTCTTTCACTAAAGGGTCAGGTATTCTATTCACAATCTGGCTTTTTGTACTTGCCTTTCTCTTGCTTCGTTTCTTACTTTGTCATCGAAGTACCTTGCAGGTACACCCCTTCCTCTTCTCCACCTCCGGCAAATTAAGGATCTCATGACGTGTTGCTGACCGCTGATCCTTTTATGATCCTGTAAGATCAATGACGCCATCTGTGGGAATCTTGCTTCCCCGTTCTTTCTCCTAAGAAATCCAAGAACCAAAGCATACTTCAATTTTCGTTGATCATGACCAGCCCACGCACTGACAACAACATCCACGAAACCACCTTCACCATTCTCACCAGCAGCGATGATCACGATCACGACATGGTCGTTCACGTCGAGGAAGGCGATGTCAGGGATGGACGCACCGCCTCTCCCTCCCCGACGATGCGACCTTCAACGATGTCCGACGCTTTAATAGTCCGACTGTCTTCTAACCAATCATTGTGCCATCCAACGTCAATCCAGCTATGGTGGCCCTATTCATGGCAATAAATTAGATGAGCCTGATGATATTTCATCAGAACAAGTGGATCGGGATGCTGGAAAAGGAGCGATAATTGTGTTCTCCCTTGTAGAGACATCGTCGCTCAGTTTCTCGCAGCCCATCACCATGACGACGGAAAACCCGTCCTTCCCCTCTTCCGCAGAGGCTACAACATGATAAATCTCAAAGTCCTTTTCCAAAATGACATGGGCTTCGTCCGTGACTTGAAAGGCATTAGCCTGTGGCCTTCTAGAAGCCTGATCGTTCTCCCCCGGAAAGAGTGATGCTCCCCCACTCCTAAAAGAAATAGAGATGACATATACATGGAGAAACCAAAGAATCGACCGAGGAGTTCTCCCCATCGTGACAGGAGTCTTCGGGACGACGGATCCCCGTCACAACCACCCGTCAGAAGCGACGAAGACGATCTTTGCATTTCTCTATCCAATGCCATCATGGAAACTCGCCTGCTCGTCAGGATGGAGAAGCCCCCGACCTTGGCTACCTATGATGGTACAACCGACCCAGACGACCATATTGAAAGCATCGATGCGATGCTCGACTACCGGAATATCTGGGGGGCTATAAAGTGAAAGCTCTTTCCCACAACCCTGACGAAGGGTGCAATGACGTGGTATAAGAGCCTCGAGTCTGAAGAGGCAGTTTTCCAGGCACTTCACCGCTTCTCGGCGACACCCGAAGATAGAAGCATCCCTGGAAGCCATCATTCAAAAGAAGGAAGAATCTCTCCAGGACTACATAGAGAGATTCAACCGAGAAGCTGTCCAAGTATCTACCTCGAACGACATGAAGAGGTATATGATTGAGCGAGGATTGCGACCTCGCACTGAGTTCGTCAAGGCGGTCGGCATCGAAAGGCCTAACATGCTAGACGCGCTCCTTCACAAGGCCTAAGCCTACATCCAGTACGAGGAGAAGGAGGACGCCAACTGCGCTTGCAACTCGCGGAACCATGAGAGTGCCAGAAATGCTAAGTACAAAGACGCCACCACTCCCCGACGAGGTGGGTAGAGAAGAAGAGAGGATCAGTCCCGAGACTTCCAGGAGCAAAAGGGGCCAGCAAGCCGATTCACCGAGTATACGCTACTCACAACTCCCTGCGAGTGCATTAACTCGGAGTTCTAAAGAGGTGGGGTCTGCTTTCCAAATCCGACATCGACAAGTCCAAGTATTACCGGTTTCACAGGAGTCATGAACACATAACAGAAGATTGCATCCATCTCAAGGATGCCATCGAAATCTTGATCAAGGAAGGACACCTGAAGCAGTACACTAGGAGGAACGACACTCTTCGACAAAAGACCTGCGAGGCAAAGAAGGTCGAGGAGGCGACGCCACCCTCCGACGAAGCTGAGCTGCAAGTCGCTCTATACGTCTCCCGGACGGAGGACTTCTACCTTCCCTATAAGGCTGACACACCTTTGTCCACTCGCAGCCCTTGGGAGGACTTCCCAACCGCAGTGGTCAAATCCGGCAGGGGTCCCGGCAAGCTCTTAGTAGTGTTAGTCAAGAGGAAGTTTGACGAGCTAATCAACAAGAGCTTGAAGCAGAACGCCACCCTCGACAGATTCAATGGTAACTCGAATCCGATCACCTTCTACCTCGAGGAGTTACCATATGGTGTCCCCAATTCCAACATCCCTCTGCTGATCATGACTCAGATGGCAAAATTTGGCATCCACCACATTCTCGTCAACTAATTGAGCTTAGTGGACATAATGTACGCCCACCTGTTCACCACCCTGCAGCTCGACGAGAACCATCTGACATCGTATGTCAGCTCTGACTTGTAGGGCTTCAACG